AAATGCTGTTTCCTTCACATTTTTGGGGAACACACTCCCTGCTACAACAGCCTCATGCAAGGTCTCTCATCCCAGAGGGTTCTCTAGCACGGGCAAGCAAGACAAGCAAAGGCACTGAATTTGGTGTATCAGGTTCAGGAGTACAACAAGCAGAGTCTTGTTGCCATTTTTCAGCCATCATAACATATAAAAACAAGTAGAGCTATTACAGATGTTCCTTAAAGAAGATAACATATAGATTCTCTTTTTACCTTTATTAATTCTTCTACTTCCTCAACTACCTGAAGAAGAGGGAAAAAAAAAAAAGCACTGTAAAAAATAAAATATATATATGTATGCCTCTATACAACTACAGACACATATCCTTACATATACAAGCATTAACACACACATACAAACATCAACAAACACTTTCCCTGAAAGCCTGTCAGGAATAAAACTTTCACTGACCTGGGGGTAGGCTGTATAAAGTGGCAAGTCCAGGACAATGTGATCTTTCACTTGTCTGGCTTTCAATTCCCCGCTCAGTGTCACAAATGTGAGAACTGGATTTGGATTTTCTAGACAGACAACACTGCAACGTTAGCAAACACAAGAATTGGAATCTAAAGTCTTACAGCTTTTGCAGTAGCTCAGTACATTCAAAAAAGGTTAATTAAGCAGCTGCAGGCATCAAACTGCAGACAGATAATGACAGAGCAGTTGTACAAGACATCAACGGTGTCTCCACGTGTGTCCTCTAAATGTTCGGAATATTTAGTTGCCTTTGGTGTAGAAAATACAGATCTTACTTACAAGTAAAGTTTCTACAATGTTTAGATGTACATAAAATATCTAGTTTGTAATCATACTTTGAATGTGGAACAGCACAGCAGCCGATGCCAGTGTAGCGTGACCACAGAGAGGAACTTCACTGGCTGGGGTGAACCACCTGAGCCCAAAGCAGCAACCTGCAAAATAAAGTTTATGGAGCATCAGTAGGTGCAAGAGTTCATTTCTTCATTTTATCTCCACACTTTATACAGAGTGCTGATGCTCCAGGTAATCAAAATGCATGTTATAATCTGTCTTGGTCCTAAATGCACTTTTAGGAACCCATTTTGCACTGATTTTTGGCACAGCTGTCACTTTTCAGTCAGGTCAGCAACTCAGTCAGGACTCTACTCTCAACAAGGAGAGCAGCCAAAGGATGCTCCTGATCTGCCTCCAGCCTGGGAACCAGGCACATCCCTGAGATGGGGAGCAGCTCTGGTGTTGCTGGGGAGCCAGAAACCAGGGACATCCGAGATGTCAGTGGTAACCACAAACCCAACAAACCGTGACAGCCTCAACTCGTAACTTATCTCCCAAAAAGCTGAAAAATAGTCTGGGAAAAGGGGAAAACAAACTAGGAAAGTAAGAATCAGTAACTGCCACTGCTTGTTCTAACTGAAAGAAGAGGAAAACAGCCTGGAAAATTAAAAACTGGTCTGAAAGAACTGAAAACACTACCATCTCTTGGCTCTTTCAGGTGAAAAGTGGAACTGAACAGCTTCTTGAAGTGGTGGCATTCTAAGTTCTCTTGTGTCTCTATGATATAAAAATGCCTTAATTTTTATCCAAAATGGATAGAACTTTGAGCACTCCAAGAAATGCACAGATTTTTCCTTTTTCCTAACAGGTCTTATTTAGAAGATAAGCCTCTGTGTTCCTGTGTCTTATGCAATCCTACAGAGGCATGGTTGTGATCCCTACACACCTGCAGGCTGGGTTCCCCTTTAGGGGTTAAGTGTCATCCTATTCCCTTGTGAGATATTTTGGGGGGTATAGAAAACCAACTCACTTTTGCTAAAGTCATCTCCAGGGTGCAGCTTTCTGATGAAAGCTGTTTCTGAAAGGTTCATTTCTGTTGCAATTTTTTGGTGCAAAGCTTCATCCAACTCCTAATGATGAAACAACAAATCCAATTAAAAGCAGACCAAAAAATGAAGAATCAGTCTGTCACATACAGTTATTTGATTCTCTATTATTAATAAAACATAGATTCAGTTACAGTTAAAAATACATCTGAGATTAAAAAAATCTTTAAGCATAAAACTGGGATAACAAGTTCAACCACCCATTGTGATACATGGGAATTTCTGATATTTGTCCTATTGGTTTACAAATT